AGGAAAGTTGGTCTCTGAAAATACCGACATTGCTCTCCAAAGGACTATTTTAGAGTCAGAACAGAGTGTGAGATTCTTACATTTTGTATCTATATTCTGTCTTCATGTTCTGTGGTTACTTTTTCTTGTACCATTTAACTCTCTTGTGTAATGAATCTTTTCATGGTTTTATTTATTTTACTGACTGCCTGAGGTGAAAGTGATTTTCAAAGCAATTGTTCACTTTAGGCTTGCCCCTTTTACAATCCCCTATAATTTTATACAAACCAGGGTAAGATACCTAGTGCTATTGGAATTGCAAGGTCTAGTCCAAGGGCACATAGAAGTAAGCTCTCCTGGGATAAGAAGTTGTACAAGGGGCAAATTTTAGTCTATTCCTCAAAATAGTGAAGAGTAGCTTGGGGCCCTGGGAGCAACCCAACAGTGGTTTGTCACGGCTGTGTCCAGTGGTTTTATTAAATAATCAGAGGTTTCAAGATATGAAGTATTAAATGTTCTCTTTTGTTCTTAATTAAGGTGATCCTAAAAAATACCTGCACTTGCCAGCTCTGCTATCTCAGTGCCAAGAGTCTTCCATCCCTGTTCTTGTGCCTTCGACAACTTGTCTTCTGGCCCCTGGTGGCCTTCTTTGTGAACTTCTGCCAGGTAGGTGGGAAAAATACTTCTGAAATGTTTTGTAAAGGGTTTGGAGTTAAATTCTTTAGTCCTTACTTAATAGCCTGACTTTGGCAGGAGGTTTGTCTGAGTAAGAACGGTAGAATCAGGACCCTTATTAGCAATCTACCTCTTCTCTCCCAATTTAAGGAAAGGATCATTGTTCAGTGAGGTTATGACAATAAAAATTTCAGCATTCCTAGATTTTGAATTTTCGGAAAACTGACTTTTATTTTTATTTGCTGGTTGATAAAAAAAAAGATAAATCCACCAGTTGTAAGGCAGTGCTCTACTTCTGCTTTGTGCCATCAGTGTCAGCAAATTCCTTTCTTGTGTTATTTGTTCATATTAATTTGCCAGCAGTTCTGTTTTACGGCCAGCTGTTTGTTGAGCTTTTGAAAAACAGCTTAAAACCAAGGACAAAAGCCTTAGAGAAGATGAACAACTGAATATGAAAACTAGGCACAGGATTCTGAGTAGCATACCTCTCAATCTTCACAAAAATGGGTATAAAGTGACAGATCTGAACTAAGGGGGAGACAAAAAATTATTAAGCAGGAAACTCAGAATGCTGTGAAATTGGTTCTGACTGTGACCTAAGTTTCACGATTCCTTATTTCTTGAGGTAAATAATTTTTAACAACAAAAGCTAACTGAATCTGTGTGGCATTGCTTCTCTACAGAACTAATTATCATTTCTTACCCAGGGCTGTTGATTCCACTCCAGTGGCCTAACAACTGGGCCTAACAGCACTCAGCTTCACAATGCCCAAGTCCCATAACAGATGCCTCCAACTCGTTTTATCTTGCACTTAAAAGAAAAGATCCAAATTAGGATCTGACAGCTTTATTTGTTTAAAGTAAAAAAAAATTAGTCTCAAAGGTGCCACCTTGTCCTGCCTTCTGTCTTACTTCAGACTAACATGGCTAGCTTTACTGTTGCATTGTTGATATAAAATAATGAATAACGATGTATAATAATGAATTTATAATGTCCCAATTTTAACCTAGTCTCCTTTGTTAATTGTTCACAACGGTCTTAAACTCAAAGTTCCTCTTGAGCTGAAGTTTCTTGGTGACTATGCTTGGTCTCTGACCAAAGGGAGAGTTCCTGTGGAAAAATTAAAAAAAAAAAATCATTATTCCAAGTGTGCAAAATGCACTCCTGGAGAAAGTACACTTTCCCCACAACCTTTTCCCATCATTTTCCAATCAGAAGCTGTACCTTACTAGCTCAAAAGTGACTGACAACAGCAAGTTAAAAACCACATGATTATGTTGTAGGTTATACTGAATGCTAAGCAATAAGCCTGGTTTGAACACAGTTGCTTGAGTATTTCTGAAGTAAGGACAGTTTACATTTAAAATTGGAAGACAAAGAGAAGGAAAAAAAGTTGCTTAGGAAAATTTGATGCGGGTTGGAGAAAGACTAAGGTTATCTAAACTGTGAGCTTGTAACTGCTAGTATATGTGGATCCATAGGTTGTTTCAGTTTGGTGTTTTTTATCCACTTGACATTATATTTATATTTTGTATTAAGTGAAAAATACATAATACTAATAATAGTGTGAAGAGAAGGCCAGATTTAATGCATATTTTAGGCTTACCTCTACATTTCCTGAATTCTGCGCAATTGATTTCTCCATTATAAAATATTGAATTAATTATAGTGTTCCTGTCTAAAATACATTATAGTAGAAACCCTTGAGGAAACCTGAAAAAGACAGAAATATCAATCTCATCAAAACTTAATGTACTGGAAGCAGACAGTAATAGGTAATTACAAAAAGTGACCAAATTTAATTTGGGCTATTACCTAAGTCATTTAGAATTTGCACTCCCATGAACTCCTAGGTCATATGGACAAGATCACAGCAGTTGCAGAAACCCAGAAGGATCTCATGGTTGTGACAGCATCTCAGGATGGCACTTTGAAATACTGGGATTTGAACACTGGTAAAGCCACCTTCACTTTGTGCGGGGCTGGGAAGAACATTGACTCTATTACTGTGTGCCAAGAGAATAGGCTGGTTGCAGTGACTGAAAACAACTCCTTTAAAATCTGGGATCTTTCCCTGGGAAAAGTGATCTATAAAGCTGATGGTTTTCCAGACACTCCAATACTGACATCTGCAATGAATGGGCAATTCCTTTTGGTCTTTTTTGATGGAAGCCTGTTAGTCAAGGTGAGATTTTTTTTAATGTTCTCTGAATGAATGATAAGGACAACTTGGTTTTCAGTAACAGAACAGGCATTTTACAGAAGGTATTTATTCGTATAATAACAAATAGCCTTAAACATTTAAAATAGCATATCAGTGAGGTGAGTGCATACATACATTTTATGCTCTTTTAATTGGCTCAAAATAAAAAGATCACCTGAACATTAAAATGGGTAAATTATAATTTTTAAAGAGTATCCAAATATATATTAAACTTAGCTGTGTGACTGAGTGCTAATATGTATCCTGGAATGGGAGGATGACAGCATTTTGAGAAGACACACTGGAGCTCCTGTAAAAACTTGTTGGCATTCTGAATAGTTGTATTATTTTTTCAGGACTTACATGTCAGCAGACAATATGAACGTGGTGCTGAAAACGTGTACACATCATTAGAACTTGTGCTGTCCTGCAAGCTATGTACCTTTTTCAAGTTACAAATATAAGCATAAAGTTATGTGGAAAGGAAAGATGGGTGGAGAGAGCTAGATAATATTAATGGGAAAACCTATAAAACACGGTAATTCAGAAAAATACATTTGAGATGAGCAGGCTTCTGTGCTGGTAGGTTTTTCTGAACAAGTACCTTGTAAGCTCAGGTAAATGTTAGAATACTTAGTATTATTATGGCACTTTTCATCCTTGATGCACTGTAAACTCATTAGTCAATTAATCTCTCCTGTCCTTATTAAGTAGGAGAAACTAAGACAGAGAGGTTAAGTGACTTGCCCAGACAGCAGCTATATATACTTTCTATCACAACTGTGATCATAGAATTCAATATTGTCATAGAATTCAATATTGTTGCATATGATAATGTGCCAATTCTCACTTCAGAATAATTATTCTTCCAGGCCAATAACTTATGTAACTTTGGCCACTGACAGATACCTCAGAGGAAGGTGCAGAAATCCCCAAAATCCCTCCTCCTCTCCCTGACTCCCCCCAACAATTTGCTCATGGGATACTATTCTTCTTAACCATCTTCAGCTAATAGTTACCCTGTGTCCTGAAGAATGAGACTTTAATAACTCATTAATATTTAATCCCATCTAATAGAATCTTATGGATGATCTCCATATTTCAATATTTCAGGGAGGCTGGCTTATTTCTTTATTTAGTTTAACAATTAATCCAATTAAAACCCCCAGTTGAAAGATAGAGTGAGTAGATCTTCTCAGACAATTTCTACCCAAAGAAGATTTTCAATGATAACATGCCAGTGGAAAATAACCCACCAGAAAAGGAGACTTGCATTTAGGAAAGATAAAAAAAAATACCTGCAAAACTAACCAGTTGGTGTTAAATGAATAATTATGATGTGCAGTGTCCTGAGCAATTATTGAAATGTACTGCAGAGTTTTTAATGACTGGAAAGGGAAGAGGAGAAAACAGTAGCCTTTTGGGAGGCAGGTTAACCCAAATCCAAGATGACTCTGACTTAAAGATGCCCCCCAGTAATTAGATGCTATACATGGAAAATTATAAATTTGCTATAATTTTCTATGTATAGCATCTAATTATTGGAGGGTCATATTAAATGTGTTCCCTTGGCTTCTGCAACATGGAAAGCATCAGCAGTGGGGGCTAATGGCAGGGAGAACAGTGGGGGGGGGCAGGCAGTAAGA